ATTCATACTTGATCATTCAAAGCTTTTAAGGGTACCGTTGTAAATCAGGCATTGCCATGTAGGGTCATCTAAATTTTCACTGACAGTCCCTTTAATATAAATATTTTGTCCGACAACAATCTGTTTTGAAGAATGTCCATCCCTACCCAGCTTCGAGATATCATCATAATTATGCACTGTTGCCTATCTACAATTTTCTTTAAACCGGTTTCAAGGTTCGTAAAAAATACTGTTTATTGCTGCTTGCTATCTATCTCACAATCTATACCTCTCGCTAGGTGTTTATTTTACATATATTTTCTTTGAAACAAACTTAAATACATGCATCCCAATATATGCAATTTGCTTTGAACAGGAGATCTAAGTCCAAAAAAGTGTAGAACACATCAAAGAGGTTTAAAATTAAAAGAGATTCCGAAATGATTGCGGTCTTAAAATTTGAATCTTTTATTTTTCCTGCAATCTTTTCAAAAAATCTTTTTACGTGAAAACTTGTAAATTTTTTACATTATAATCTGTTTTACAGGGTGAGTAAAATATCGAGTATTTACTAAAACAATTTAACGATAAATTTTACAAATAGTTTGTGGCTAATTTTACAGTGAACGAAGGTTCAAATTAAAATTAAATGATGAATTGAATTTTATTTTAAGGAATTTAGATATCAATATTAACAAAATTCTCAATTGAATTTTATTTTAAGCTTTATTTTAAAGTCAATTCATTAAAAAAAATCAGCGCACTACTGTGAACTATATTTTGATGTTTTTTATTTTGTCCCCGCCCCCCTCCCCCTCCCATTTTGAAAAAAAATCTTGCTGTGGGCTTGCTTTGAGGTTTATTTAAAATTCAATATCGCCACCCTGTATACAACTTGCACAGAGATCCACAAAGCTATGAAAATGGTGCATTTTTTGGACAAGATAATTTTTTGGACCAGATCAATTTTAGAGTGGCCTTTGGTTTTACATTACTAATAATGAATACTTTTGAGTAGCAAACAAATGCAAATTTTAAAACAAGAACCCGCTTGTTTCTAGCCTTAATTCTTAAGAAGAAGTTGGCAAAATTCATTTTTTTGCACGAAAACTTGCAACTTTTAAACTATTGAGCTTGAACCTTATAAAATTGAAAATGAAATTAAAAAAAGATGAAGTATTCCAAAGGGATCTAAACATGTATACATTGAAACCGTGACAACTTTGAGGTGTCATCAGGCCTTTGCTCGTACTTTAAGCTTACCTAAACTGTTGTGTACCCCTGCATAGGTATTTACAAAAAGATTATTTTTAGCTTCAGTTTCAAGTGAATATTCTAATAGAATTTTGCGTCTAAATGTGAATATTTAGCTCACAGTGCGCGCAAGTTCAACAAATGTCAAAATTGTAAAAATGCATCAGGATTCAGTGCCGTTGTTGATAAGAACAATAATTGAGTACTTCAGATTAATAATTTCAGGAGTGTAAAACTAGATTCGGAAATAAACAATAACACATTTAATTCGTTTTCACAAAAAAATATTTTTGTTTTTAACAAGATCAGTGGCGTAAATAAGGAATTTTTTGCAGAAAATGCTAGATTTTTCGAGTATTATGTGCGTATTTAGGTGTTAAAGATTGGAGATAATCTAATATGATATGGGACGCTCTGTAGATTATTTGGTCTAACAGAATTCATAGTTTTAAATATCAAAGGTCAACGACATTGGGTAGCAAAGATATAGAGATTCGAAAAGTAGAGTTTGTTACAAAAACTCAGTTCATTTGCACGAAAATAATTTAAATGTGCAAATGCTTTAGATATTTCAGATTTTAAGTCAACATATTCTAAATGATTCTAAATTCTAAATGTCATTACAATTCGATGTTTTTTAATAGAAAAAAGGATGAAAAATACATTTTTACTTCTAAATAATGTCATTTTCATATTAGATTTTTTAAGATCTTAACATACTACATTAACAACAAGAAAATTTTAGAAATTAGAAATTAGAATATAAACAAAGACAATATTTTTTCAAAGTTTTGCAGAGTAGCTTTTTTAAAGATTTAAAAAAGTAACATCTTTTTCCTCTTAGAGTAAAACTATTATTCTTTATCTTACTTAAAATAAATTCATTTTTTACTTATCTTTGTAGTAAATATAAAATGAAGGATATAAAACAAGGTGAAAGTTGAAAGGTATGAAATGAAGACTTTATTTGATGGAGTTTGTAAATGCCAGAAATGAGTGGAAAATGCAAATCAAACCCAATTAAAACCAATAATTTGATATACATCATGATATTTTTCTACGGGGGTAAAAGATTCTAGGGAGGGGTAAATTTTTTTTTGGCGCGCTACGTACGCTAAATTCAAAATTCCCCCCCCCCCACAGAATCATTATGTACGCCCCTGAACAAGAATGAATTCGGCCAGAAAAAGAGATGTTTAAGAGTCACCTGTATATTAAATCCAAATTCTTTATCTAGAGTGTTTCTGATTATATTAGAATTATATATTCTTGAAGACTTGATACATAGACGGGAACTCGTTTCAATATTTCAATATAATAATTCATTTAAAAATAACATTAAAATATTTTCCAAATTTTTATTTTTATTTGGTGGATTTTGTTTTCAGTTTCAAGGATGTCATTATTCTTTTATCTTCATGCTTGATCATTTATTTCTTTAAACCACCTAACCTTTTAATTTAAGTCCCAAAATTTCATATACTGTACCAAATTTTCATTTTCAGATGTCCTAAGATTTAGTTTTCAATCCACATAAGCCAAGAGTTTTGGAGTCCTTTAGTGCTAAAAATCTGTAAATTCATAGAATAATTTTCATTTAAAAATTAACTTTGTATTTAATAAATTTGGTAGTTTACTTTTTATTTTGTAGTTGGTTTAGGATTGGGTGACAACAGTTATTTTATTTTAAGCAAGAACCATGTTTAAATCATTATATTTTACATATCACTGAAAATATAATCAGGAAATATTAATGTTAGATAACCACCTAACTTTAGAATAAAAAATATTTTGGGTCTACTTTCTTAATTTTATTATGTAAACCTTAGATTAGATGATTATCACCTTTTCGCAGTTTTCAGTCCTGGCAAACTATAGGATCCTTTTTTTTTTAATTTAATTCAATTCAAATGTGATGAAAACGGTGAAAAAAAGGGCCAAACAAAGAAAATTGACTATTTATAAAATAAAAAATATTTTGTGTCTATTTTTGTAGTTTTTACTGTAAACTTTATAGATTTGATGATTATCACATTTTCCCAGTTTTCCGTCCTGGCAAACTAGGATCTTTTTTGGCCAATATATCAAACCCATTTTCTCAAAAACAGCTACTCATCAAATTTGTTTAAAGAATGTTTTGAAATCGGCTAATCCTATACTTTCAATTTCCCAAAAAAATTGTGGATAATTTTAAGCAAGGAGAATTGAATAGATCAAGGAGGGGGCCATAGAGTAATAAAACGAAGAGGTGAAGCTTAGCTCAGATGTACACAACCGACCTGTCTATTAATTAATTAATAGACAGGTCGGTTGTGTACATCACGATATGTTTACGTATCTAACGCTGTATAGAGCGATCGTATTTCTACGGAGTGGTTTAATGTAGATATTTGAATATTAGTATTGATAATTAGATAGATTAGGTCGAAAAAATGGAAAAAATAATTTTTTGCTTAAACAAATATCAAAGTGTGACACACTTTTCTACACTCATTTTTCAAGGGCTTTTCAAAACTATAGTTTTCAGATCTGTAGCTTTAGTCATAAAAAAGTTATGGGCTATTTAAGATTTTTTTACATACTCTGGTTTTTTATCGCCCTGCACCCTACCTTAGGCATAAAAAATTATCAAAAAATTCTTTAAATTTCTATTTATGAAAAGTCAAAAAACTAGAGGGGGGTTNCCCCGACTGTTTAGGGTTAGGAGCTCCAGGTCGTCATCGTTGTTTCATCTTTGTGGGTAACCCTGCATACACTATCATGTTTATGATAAAGAGTTAAAGAGAAGAAACAATAAAAAATGTTTGAAATAAGAATGTTTTCAGTTAAATTCATGCCCTAGAAACTTAATATTTTTGACAGAACTTTTAGCTAATAAATTGAAAACTTACAAATTTGAAAATTGTCAAATGTTTGCAGTCAACATCATCGAATTCTCTTTAAATAAAGAAAGAAAATCTAAAATTAGTCAATTCCATAAAATCCCCCTTTAGAAATACTATCACTCTATATACAAGTGTACAGCGTTAGATACGTAAACATATCGTGATGTACACAACCGACCTGTCTATTAATTAATTAATAGACAGGTCGGTTGTGTACATCTGAGCTAAGCTTCACTTCTTCGTTGTATTACTCTATGGAGGGGGCGATAAGGTTTACGTACACTTTGCTGTGACGTTTTTGGAATGCTGAAGAACTAGTTTTTGCGTAACAACAATAATAAAGATTGTAAACAATAACACAAATGATAAACAAACATCTGGCATTTCTGGCGTTAGATGAAGATTCACCATACTAACTCAGGTTTGTTTACGTTAGATCGGCTGCCTTTGTTGTTACGCAAAAACTAGTTCTTCAGCAGTCCAAAAACGTCACAGCAAAGTGTACGAAACCCCTATCGCCCCCTCCTTGTATTCAATTCTCCTTGATTTTAAGTAAATTTGTCAGATGTGTAAGCCTAATATACATAATATACATTTAGGGGTTTTAAGGTAATTCTCGCACCATTTTGAACTTCTGGTTTGATAGCACTGAAAAAATGATATTTCGCCGATTTTTCTGTATATTTATTGGATTTTCCGTTGTAAAGTATAAATCTTTCCTGGGCCTGGTCATGTGAGAGGTCATATAGACAAAAATTTTACCCAAATCGGTTCACACATTTTGACGTTATTGAGATCAAACAAACAAACAAACAGACATAATCTACAGTGTGTAAATATTTAGTTTAAAAGGTTTTTAAATTCTATCTTAGTTGAACTTACATTATGAATCTCAGGTTTAGAGATACTGAAGATTTGAAGATCAGATTCATCATGAAGAAAATCTTCATCAACACTAGATACTACACCCCAGGATACAGTTCGGTGTAATCTATGCGCATCCTCTCCACTCTTTACATCTTCATCTTTAAACCTCAAGGAGACAGATCTTGGTAATCCGTCCTCCACCCTGCTCTTCGTTCCATCCTCATCCTTGAACCTCAAGGAGACAGATCTGGATAATCCATCGTCATTCCTTTCTTCTCTTTCATCCTCATCCTCGAACCTTAACGAGGATGATCTAGATAATTTGTCCTCATTCCTTCCTGCTTTTTCATACTCATCCTCATCTTCGAACCTTAATGATAGGGACCTTTGTAATCCATCCTCATTCCTTACTTCCTTTTCATCCTCATCCTCAAACCTTAATGAGGATGATCTAGATATTCCATCTTCACTCCTACCTTCCTCCTTGATTAGTGCAGAGGTTGACTGTGCATCTTCAACAGGTTCAGGATTCTCAATTTTGATGGTTTCAAGATTTTCTCTTTTCTCCGTAATTACAGGTTCATGATTTACTACCGGTTTCAAGTTCAGACTATTCACTGTTGAGTTTACATCATTGGAACCCAGATGTTTTGTTAATTGATTGGGATTTGTAGGAATTGAGTGATTGATTGAGTAAGGGAGGTTTGGCGCCAAAATATGGGAAGATTGTGAATCATGGGGAAATGAATGATTTTTGGACGATGATATATTGTTTTGCTCTTTTGGTGGGGTGGAAGGAAGGGACGGAGGGAAGGGAGGTGTGGAGGGAAGGGGTCGAGGTATGGAGGGGAGGGATAGGGGTGTGCAGGGGAGGGATGGAGGTGTGGAGGGGTGGGATAGGGGGGTGGAGGGAAGGGTTGGAGGTATGGAGAGGTGGGATGGAGGTATGGAGGGGAGGGATGGTTTATCCCCTGAAGGAATGGAAGATTGCTCCAGATCTAGGGAAATAGAGGAACAAGGTTTACCTGTTCAACGTACACTGTACAGACAATGCTTCTTAAAACAGTTTTTTTAAAATTTTTATTTCATTTTGATAAATTTTTGATTCCAGTAAAAACATTAAAACCCCTGAAATTTTTCCAACTTGATTTTTAGCGTTAATAACGTTTTTTTTACTATTTTGAACTTTTTTAATACGTTTGAATAATCATTTTTACACATTTTCATTTGTTTTTGAACCCTGAAAACCATCAAAACCCTGAAAACCATCAAAACCCCTGAACTTCTCTGCATTACAACACCTTTTTCATTAAAACTGTTTTATATCTCAAATTAACACTAATTTTGAATAGCCATTTTTTTAGCATTTAGCATTACACTGTATAGCACCTTGTTGTTTACTAACACCCAGCTCAATCGAAGCAAGGGCCATGGACCCAACTTTATCACTAAACACAGTTACACACACACTGCCCAGATAAAGGAGACTTAAAAAGAATAAATTTCTATTTCAAAAATCGAAATCACGTTATCATAGATTACATCAATTTCCAAACTTTGTGGTAAAAAATGTAAAAATTTAAAACAATATTCATTATTCCCCCCCCCCTCCCTCCCCCCCGGAAAAGTTGGCCGGAATATTCTCTTTGAGGGAAAGAATTGTAGAAAATCCAGCTTTGTCTTGAACTATTCTCACCCAGCAGATAGATAGATAGGTTTCACGCTATAGAAAGTCAGAGGACAGCACTAGGATAAGAAAAAATACGGTAAGGGGACATTTTTGTTTACGCTTTTTGTTAAATTTCAAAATTTTACTAATTTAATAAATTGTACACAATTATTGATCTATTTATGTATAAGAGGGGGGGGGGGTACAATTCGACACTATGTGACACCAAATTTTGTAAAGGCTGAAATTGGTCCTAAAAATTGAGATAGAAGACTGAAATTTTGCATGTAGTCTCTAATTGTGGTCATCTACACAGATCACGTAGAAAATTTGAGATCTGAGGTCATCGACATACATTTTGATCTCAATTAACTCAGAAAATAGGGAAAATATCACTTTTTCACTCTAATTCAATTATTTATGTTAATTAGATATGGTTTTATATTTTGTGCTACCACATATGTCATTCACTAATATTGACACATATTTTCGACCACCTGTTTGACCTCCCTTCGATAATTACCTCTTAAAGGGTCAAAATATCAAATCAATAAAATGTGTCATGTTAGTTATCAAATCATAGATCTTTTGCTGTTCAGATTTCATTCTGAGACCCTTCTTTGACCTCAGTGAGATTATCCTGGAGGTCGTGACCTCCAAAACGAGCTTACCTCCGAAGGTCAAAATATGAAATCAATTAAAATGGGGCATGTTAGGTATGTTAGTATTCAGATTTCATTTCTGACAATAGACGACTCTGACACGTTGTACAAGTTGTTTACACTTTGACAAGAGAATATAGAAGTTCCCCTAACCCCCTCTCCTTAGTTGCATTCTTATCGTGCTAATGCCAAAGATAAGTATAGAGTGGAATTAAGTTGAAAAAAGTGTAAAACCGCCATTTTGTTGTACTTTTTCCATACTGCAGGTGTACCTAACACAATTTTAAGCCCTGGAACATCTTTTATAGAAAAATATTTACTTGAAATTATTTAATTTTCTCCAAATCAATTCTCTGACAACCTGTCATGCATTCCCGAGTTTATTTTAACATAGTTCATTTCAGCATGATTTATAAAAATAAGAAATTGTAACGGATATATATATATATATTGTCATGTACTGCGTATAATTTGTGAGCATTTAAATGAACTGTACACTTTGACCTCCTTTTCAGGGACTGAACAAATTCACAAAGAGGGATAGGCTTATTTCCCTTCTATTCTAATCTCTGTTCTGTGGGTACTGCAGGAATAAGCATGATAATAAATCCAACAGAATACAATAATGATCCAAGACAATGATCGTACGAAGTGTAATTGTAAAAAGACAAGGATATTAATATATTATAACCTTTGATAATATTACTACAGACAATAGATTATACCACACAATGAATCTATATAAAAAAACTTTTTTTTTCTGTTGGTCTGTTTGTTTGTGCCCAATAAAGGTCGCAACGGTTAAAGCGATTGTTCCCAATTTATATGGGACCTCACATGGCCCTAATCCTATAGGTAGCTAATGAATTGTTTTCATAAAAATTGAAAGTGTATCAAAGAAAAAAAGAAAACTTTTGAACTGTGTCTTATTAAAGTATATTAATATTGATATATTATATTCTTGAATAATTGCTATGGAAAACACATTTATTTAATTATATAGATTACACATTTCGAAAACTACTTCTGAGTGTTTTTACGGCGAAGTCTATCAAACCTCATTTATCCTTTACTAGAGAGTATCAAATTGTCCAGCACATTTAAACAGTGAAGGCTAATTAAATATTTAGATTTTATTCTGTCTATTTGTTTGTTTGTATCCAATAAAGATCGAAACAGTAACACAAGGGCGTATACAGGGGGGGGGAGGGGGGGGCAAAAAAAATTTTTGCGCTTCGCGCAAATCTTGCCCCCCCCCTACATTTATTTCTGTATACGCCCTTGCAACGATCGTGCCCAACTTATAGGATCTCACATGGCCGTATTGAACACTTATCAAAGAAAAAAGTTTCTTTTTAAAGGATATTTATATATGTTTTAATTTTGGATGATATCAATATTAATATTAAAGTGCAAAATAGATTTTATCGAACCCATTTATTTAAATATATTGATTTTTTCTGTTTGTTTGTATCCAATAAATTTCGAAACGGTTACAACGATTGTTCCCAATTTATATTCAACATTACGTAGCCCTTAGGTGGCGAAAGAATTGTTTTTATAAAAAATTGAAATTCATCCAAGAAAAGCAGAAAATTTTCCGTTTTTTTCAGATTTAATATTATATATATTATATATATATTTTACTTAATATAAGATTTAAATATTTTAATACCCTTTGATAATATAACCATATCTACACTCTACAGGGTGTCCCACATCATTTCGGATCGTTTATGGCTCTAAATTGCGATTTTCTTGAATAATCAGAAAATTTAAAAAATGAATCATTTTAAAAAATTGTATACAATACAGCTAATGAAAAATTTGCACGCAGAAAACACCAGGTTTTTCGAGCATTATGTGAGTATTTCAGCGTTAACTCTTTGAGATAATCCAATATGATATGGGAAGCTCTGAGCCCGAAATTTGAAAAAGTATAGTTGGACAAAACTCCCGAGTTTCCTATTTGGAGTCTTAACATTTGTGTAGAATTTGATTTAATAGATTCGAAAAAATTTAGAATTTAAACAAACTGAATAAAATAATATTTCATACCAAAAATATTGATATTCACAAAACCGTCTAATCCCATTCGTAAAACCCGGGTTTTAAAACTAGTTTTTCAGAACGATACCCTGTCTTAAGCTTTGGGCTCTGTAGAACAGACTAAAAAGTACACACCTTAACCTACTATTCAACTTTTGTGAATCCTTGGATTATTGTGCTAAGCTATAAGAAATTTTAAACATTTATTTTATATTAGTAAAATATAGTTACGCTATTTACTATTGTTAATAATCTACAGCAGATAAATGATAGAAAAGAGATTTGGAAAAAGAATGACAAATAAATATACATAAAGATTGCAAAAATATTTACAAAAACTAATTACCTTCTGAATTGATGTATTTGCTACCGTCAAATCGGCTCCGCCTGCTGACCCTTCCGCCTTCTCATCTGGCAGATCTGGCGGACTTATTTCTATACGAATAGAGTCAGCTTTGCGGCGGAGAGATTTGTTCCGCCGTTGAATTTCTGTGCTCGAGTTCCAGAAGATTCTTTTCACTAGCATCCACCATTTTGAATTTTCGTGGTACTCTCCAGATTTTAATTCCATAGGATTAGTCTCCATAGGTTGATCACTAACTAAGGATGAAGATATCGTCTTCAATCTGTTTTCTACAAACAGATGACTGGATCTACTCTTAACTGTTAAGGTTGAGCAGGATGTTTTAGTGAAGGAATAATTCGAGGAGGTGGAGAGAATGGAGAGAGAATTTGTTTCAGAGGAGGAGGGATATAATGACCTAATCAGACTTCAGTTATACATTTGTATATTTATATGTGATCTCGATGACAAAAAATGAGATTTTAACAAAGACGTCAATAATTTCCCTATCTTGGTTATCTATCATTAACTCATTATACTTTATTTTTATTCGATTCAAACTATTTTAGAATTGAATTTTTAGTAATGAGAACAAATTACCTAAACTGGTAATTATCCCAGTCATTAAATACAATACATTTAAGTAAGAAACTGTATTTCTTCCTTTGCAAGGAGTTATCCAGGTTAGATTCAACTTTAAGAATTAACTCCGGGTAGTTCATAGAACTGTTATCTAACTCAGGGTATGTTTTAGAACTAGTATCTAACCCAACTTGATCTGTCTTCAGACCATTATATGTTAACGCTTCTTTGGCGCTGGGTTCAGGATGTTCTATTTCTATTCTGCAGTGTTCATTCTTTTCTGAACAGCGTTCTAATGGTTCTTGTCCTTCTGCAGTAGATTGTTCAAATAATTTTTTTCCTTCTTTAGAAAGTTTTAATGGTTGAATTCCTTCTAAGGAGCGTTCTAACGATCTAATATTTTCAGAGTAACTTACTGCAGAGTAGGAGGGTTCTAATACCTCCTTTAGACCTAAGCAAGGTTCCATTTTATATAATGTTATGAATCTGAAAGATTCACGTTTTTTTAACTACTTAAAACAAAAACTCTTAAAAAACTTTTAGAATTTCAAACGTTTCGTTAATGTCTTTTTTCCAACTGAGAAATATTTCACTTGAACTTTAATCACTTATCACTTTAACTTCATTTGTTTCACGATAAAAAAACTGTAATAACAGAAATGATGTGATGTACATGTGTATACTATGGGTGTAAAACTAAACGTTATGTACTCTCTAAACTTTAATACAGTGTACTGCACTGTACCAAATACAGGGTGTCCCACGAAACATGACAGTATGCAGGACGACTTGAATGTCGTCTTGATTTTTGATATAATTTGCTGCGTTTATTTGTCAACCTAATTTTAGAAGTAAATTTCTAGAGATAATAATCACAAAATTTCCCTTGTCCTGCCATTTCCAAAATGTGGTCTGCCTTTTTTGTGCTTTCAATATTGCCCGAGATATGAAGAATTTCGTTCAGATTTCGACAATTTTGCTTTTATTTAAC